TGGGAAGGGTAGGGGAAAGGGAATAAGGGAAAAGAAAAAAATATGACAAAATGAAAAAATGGAAATAAAGTGTTTATAAATGGGGAGGGAGGAGGGGTGAAGGGAGGGCAGGGACAAGGGGGGAAAATGAGAACCAAGACCTGTCATGTAAAGGTACAAGATCCCAGTAATGAATGTAACTGTACTGTATATATAAAATGTACCAATAAACTCAATAAAAAGAAAAAAAAGAAAGTTATTTTCTTTTAGGGACTGAAACCCTTCACTCTAAGCTCTTCTGGCCTTTAAGGTTTGTGTTGAGAAGTCAGCTGAAATTCTAGTGGAATCTACTTTGTAAGTGATTTATTGCTTTTCCCTAACAGCTTTTAAGAATCTGTTCTTGTGCTGTACTTCTGGGATTTTGACTATGATGTGTTCTCTTCTGATTATGGCCTCACTTATCTGCATGTTAAAAACTCTTTCCCCATACTTGAAATATTTTCTGGTATCATTTCTGTAAAGAGGTGCTTTTTTAAAAAAATGACATTTGTGCTGTCTTCCGATTTTTCACTGATTTTATTTATTTATTTGTACGGGGGATCAAACTCAGGACCCTGCACTTGCGAGGCTGGTGGCAGAACCACTGAGCTAAATCCCCGGCCCTTCACTGATTTTAATTAATCTTAGATTAGTCTTTGTGTCAGCCAGCAGTTGTTGGATCCATTTTCACGTTCTCTCTCCTCTCCTCCTCTTCTTCTTTTCCTTCTCTTCCTCCTCCTTCTGCACTCGTCTCTCCCCCCCCCTCTTTCTCCAGGTATCTCTGAGTATATCGCCACTTCCACCCTGTCTTCTAGTTCTTTTCTTTCATTGGTCACTTCTTTTGCACATACTTACAATATATATATATTTAATCTCCTAGATTTCTGTTTGGACTTTTCAAGGACAAGAATTCTTTGCTAAACTTGTCATTCATTTTGTATCATTTTGCTTAGCTCAGGTAGCTTTTTATTAGTGTCTCCTCTAAGCAGCGATCATTTTGTTTAAGTCCATTATCTGTTTAGTTATATCATCTAAGAGCTTGCAAAGCACCTTATTGATCTGCTTTTTTTTAGTCTCCTCTTTTATCATTTCATATAATTCAGATGTTTGGCTTCGATTCCCTCACCATTGGTGCCCTATTTGCAGGAATTTTGTTGTCTTTTTTCCCCCCTGGTGTTGAGGTTTGCAGGTCAATTGTGTGGAGATACTTTTGTTGCTAGTATGGAGATCTTTTTAGTTAATGTCTGCTTTTCAGCGGTGTATTCTAAGCATGGTTAACTCTAGGACTTTGCATCTATCTCAAGATCAGACTGCCTTTGTCAATTTGGTGAAAGGAGGGCTGCAGGGTAATTGGTCCAGCACCCAGTTCTCCAGAAATGAACCACAGTGGTCTTGATGACACAAGGACAAACCAGTTATGGTCGTATGCTAAAAACTGACTAATGGCTATTACTGTGGCACCCTGGCAATAACAACAAAATCAGCAAGAGTAATAGAATGAAAGACAAACTGGATATTGATATATACCAGAAAAGCCACAAAGAGAGATCCGTAATTTTGCACAAAGACAAACAAAATTGACTTATAGTAAATATCTACTAAATGCAGCAACTATTCTACCATTAATAAAATTCAACAATAAGAGCTTAGAGTCAACTAAATATCTAAATATTAATCAATAATAGTAACAAATATGGAGGGAAAGGGAAAAATGAAAGAAATGAAATTTGAAAAATAAGGGAAAGGAAGATGAGGAGGACAGAGAAGTGAGATAAAGGATCTTGTTAAAGAGTAAAAGAAAATTAATAGAATTAGATAAAGTAACAGGAAAGAACAAACATGAAAAAGAAAAAAAAAGAAAGCAAAATAAAGAAAAAAAAAAAAGAAGAAAAAGCCCCCCCCCCAACCATGAAGAAAAATAGAAATGAGTCTGAAGAATTCCTCCGTGGTTTTGGATGAGTGGCTTCCTTCCAGGGCCTGAAGTGCTGGAATCCATCATATATGAGGGAGGTACCATGAATCCCTACTAAGACCTAATTTGTTTCCACACTCAGTTGTGTGTGAATGCTGAATCCTTTTGTGCAGGGCAAGTTTAGTGAATGGTGTCCATCCTAGGACTGTATTCACTCTCGCTACTCCCAGTTTCCATGTCCTTTTAGGTGTCCCAACTGATGGCTTTCCCCATCCATGTGCGTTTGTGAGAGGCACCCCTGCTCCAGAGGCCACTTTGACATTTCACCCCAGGCTATGGCATCCATCCATGCTGAAGTGAAGCTTTGATCATGTTGGTATATGGGGAAGCAAACGAGCCACTGAACTCTGTGCTGGACGTAGGTAGTGGGGCAGGAGGTCAAGCTATCCTAAGGCAGCACTTTCAGACTGAGCCCCCTCTGAAAGCCATTCGCAATCAGCCTGGCTTTTCAACTTGGAGGGTGGTACTCCTGTGTCCTTCCCAGCCTGAGTTTAAACTTTTCAAGGGGATCTATGTTTAGCCTGCATTCTCTCTGTGACCCTCTCTTGTGGCTGTCTCTCGCCCAGTCGCTGTGGTAGGGTGACACCTAGAAATCCTGAAGTGCAGTTATTCTGTATTTGTTCTGTGGCTTACTCTTAAGCAATTAACCTCTTTCCAAATGGCTCCTGATTAAACACTCCCAAATCCAGTCAGTTCTGCTGCTGGAGTTCTCCAATTCTAGCTTGCCATGCAGAAGTCAACTTCAGGATAAGATCCCATCCTATTTTACAATTTATAATAACCATGGGCCTTTTGGGGGTTTAGCACTGCTGGCCTGGTTTGTTAGTTTCTCCCTGGAGCTATTGACACTCTCTGGACTTACCTTATGTTAGTGGAGACAGGTCTCCTTCATCAGCCTGCTTTGCTCTTTTCTACGCATTGTACTTAATTTCTTCAGCTATTCTGGATGGGGTATTTCACTGCTGTGCTTTACCATTTTAAGTCTCCTGATCCTCCTTTCCTCAGTGATCTGCACTGCCATCAATGTTATAAGGCGAGTGTCTATGTACGATTATTTCTGGGATTTTGCCTTCTCCCGCTTGTCATTGTGTAGGTCATCCAGTTTTTCCACAAATACAAGGGACAAATAAACTTGAAAAGAGGAAAGATTTATTTTGTATTGCAGTTTCAGAGGTTTCAATCCATGACGGATTGGCTCCAGTGCTTTGGGCCTGTGGTAGTACAGTACATCACAGAGGAGCATGTGGTGCAGAAAGCTTATCTCATGGCTAGAAATGAAAGCGAGGAAGAAGAAACCAAAGTCCTAATATCCCTCCTTAAGGACATGCTCTCAGTGACCAGGTTTCCCACTAAGCCACATCTTTTCTTTTCTTTTTTTTCCTTCTATTTTGTTGTACAATATTGAATCCAGGGCCCTTACACCTACCTAGTTACATCCCCAACCCCACTACCATTTTTTGGGGTGGGGCATGAGACACAGTCTCACTACGTAGTTCAGGCTGGCTTTGAACTCACTATGTACCCCAGGCTGGCCTCAAACTAGTAGTGATCTTCCTGCCTCAGCTTCTTGAGTGCTGGAATTACAAGCATGTGCCACCATGCATCCTCTCCCCACATCTTTTTTCTTTTGTTGGTAGTGGGGATGGATCTTGGGATCTTGGAATCTTACACTTGCGAGGCAGGCTTCGGAACCACTGAGCTAAATCCCCGGCCCTCTCTCCCCTTTTTTGAGACAGAGAATCAACAAGTTACTTAACTGCCCAGACAGGGCTCGAATATTTTATCCTCTTGTCTGAGACTCTCAGAGTGCTGGGGTTATAGCCACGCACCACCATAGCTGTTTAAAGTCCTACCTCTTAAGTGTTCCCCAAAGGCTCATGTGTTAAGGGATTGGTCACCAGCCCACAGTGCTATTAGGAGAATAAAAGGGGAGAAGTCCTTGGGCAGAATTCCCATTCGTGTTTCTTCATTACCACTGGGGGATAGTGCTATGGGCTGGTGACCAAGTCCTTAACATATGAGCCTTTGGGAAACACCTATCTAAATCATAGCAGTATTTTTATTCTATGTTAATACTATATTGTATGAATTATTATAGCTTTCTAGTAAGTCTTGATATTAGGTAGGGCAAATCTATCTTTTTGATAGCATTTTTGCTATAAGAATGGCAAAGTATTCTTATAAAGTATAAGAATACTTTAGCTATTCTACATACATTTTAGAATCAGTTTGTCAAGTATTTTTTGTTGGTGTTGTTGTTGCTGTTTTTTGAGGTAGGGTCTCACTATGTAGTTCAGACTGCGCTGGAACTCACTGTGTAGCCCAGGCTGGTCTTGACTTGCAGCGATCCTCCTAATTCAGCCTCCCGAGTGCTGGGATTACAGGCGTGTGCCACCGTGCCCGGAAGTTTGTTTTTTTTTTTTTTTTTATAATTGAGAGAGGTTAATTGATTTTTTGATTTTACAATTATTTGTAGCCTGGCATGGTGGCACATGCTTGTAATCTCAGAACTTGGGTGGGTGAGGGGAAAGGCTCACTGTGAGTTTGAGACCAACCTGGCTACATAGTGAGTTCAAGGCCAGACTGAACTACATAGTGAGATCTTGTCTCACAAAAATAAAACCAAAACCAAAATCAAAGACAAAAACAAACGCTGTTTGAATTTTGTTTGCAACTACAATATTCCATGCATAGTCCTACTAGGGAGAACCAATTTTTAGTTCATCAAGGCTTTCAATCATTTACATAGTTTTTCCTTGATTTATTGATGTATTTTTTTAAAGAAAGAATTTAAAATATTTTCTATGAAGGCCTTAAGAGATAGATAAACCCTTGAGTAAGTACATAGTTATTGGTATCTTATATTATAGGCATCTCAGGATTTAGGAAACTCAGTAAGGAGCAAAAGAATGGGAAGCTTAATTTGTCCTCTGGGGCATTTCTAATACACATGCACTGGTTGTAAGAAAAATATTATAGACAATAGAGTTAATTGATCATTGACACTTACCTCAGCTTTATTGTAGATAGGAACAAATATCCAACCAAGAATAAAGAGCATAAATATAGTCTGAAACCAAAAAGAACAATTAAATCAGGTGTCCATCTAGGTCAGTCTCTTAAGTGAGATGCAAACTCAGTAACCATCTGTTTTGATAGTAACTACTAGGAATTTTTTCTGGTATCATACAATTTTTTTATTATATGTTTGCAATACACAGTGATTGCATTCAGATTGGGGGTTTGATACTTATCACAGCTTGATAATTTTTTGCTCCCCACATCACCTTCCTCTCTTTCCTTCCCAGATCCCCTTTTCCTTTATACAGAATCTACTTCCCTGATTACTAGAGACTTTTTGAGCACAGAGAATTTGACTTTGAGGCACATGATCTTTGCCTTTAAAAGATTCTTAAACTAGGTGTAGTGGTGCATGCCTGTAGTCCCAGCCCTGAGGGAGCATAAAGCAGGAAGAGCTCACGTTTCAGTACTGCTTGGGCAACTTAATGAGATTCTATCTCACATTAAAGGTGAAAAGGGCTGGGGATATAACTCAGTGGTAGAGCACCTCTGGGTTCTACCCCTAGTACTTAAAAAAAATTGGGAGAGGTTAATTGAGCACAAACAAGGTATTTATTGTTAATTTATTGTTTCTTTACTCTCAGGGAGTGATAAAGGTGGCATAAAACTAAATTTAAAAGATAGTTTCAAGAAAAGAAAAAAGAAAAACTTGAAGTGTTCTGGGAAAAGGGAGGTAAACTACATCAAAATTTCATACAATTGAAATTAGATCACAAACTTGGCTCTGGCTTTCTCTTTTTGAGACAGGTCCTTGGTTTGTACTTTAGGCTATCCCTGAACTCATTATGTAGCCCAAGCTGGCCTCAAACTGAAGGTAATCTTCTTGACTTAGCCTTCGAAGTGCTAGTATTACAGGTGTGCTCTACCATTTCCGCTCGCTCTGGCCTTCTGTGCAAAGCATGGAGGAGTTGACTTTGAAGAAAGGAGATATTTGAAGATTCTGAGGGATGAATGGGGGTAAAGAATAGGGTTTCTCAATCCAAAAGTTCATTTGGATCAAGAAGAGACCTAGAATAGCAAAAGCAATTCTAGGCAACAAAGACAAGATAGGGGGTATCACAATCCCCACCTTGAAACTACGCTATAAAGCTACGGTGATAAAACAGTATGGTACTGGCAAAGAAACAGACCTGAGGACCAGTGGAACATATTAGAAGATGCAGAGACAACTCCAGACACACTCACCTTATCTTATCTTTGACAAAGGAGCCAAACACACTCACTGGAGGAATGATAGCCTCTTTAATAAATGGTGCTGGAAAAATTGGGTTTCGACTTACCAAAGCTTAAAACTAGACTTATATCTTTCACCATGCATTAAACTAAAATTGAAATGGATTAAAGATCTAAATATTAAGACAGAAATGCTAAGTTGGCTGGAAGAGAGGTTAGGTAGAACTCTTAAAGAAAAGAGTTAAAGGAAAAGATTTCATGAACAAAACCTCAGTTGCACGTGAACTAGCACAAAAAAATCACCAAAAGGGATCTCTTTTTATGAAAAAGCTTTTGCACAGCAAGAGGAACCACCAACAGTGTGAAGAGACAATCCACAATGTGGGAAACTTTTTTTACCAGCTGTTCCTCAGACAAAGGTCTACTATATATAGAGAACTTAAAAAAAATCAGACTTCCCACATTTAAAGATCCAATCCAAAAATGGGCATCTGAAATGAACAGTCATTTCTCAGACAAAGAAGTAGAAATAGCAAATAGACATATGAAAACATGTTCCACATTAGTGGTCATTTGAGAGATGCAAACGAAAACAACACTGAGATTCCACCTCACCCCAGAAAGAATGGCTGCCATCATGAAATCAGCCAATAACAAATGCTGGTGTGGCTGTGGGGAGAAAGGAACCCTTCTCCATTGTCGGTGGGAGCACAGACTGGTGCAGCCATGGTGGAAATCAGTATGGAGATACCTTAAAGAACTAGGACTAGAGGTCCCATTTGACCCAGTTATTTTCCTGATGAGTATCTTCCCAAAAGAATTAAGAGAATCATACCACAGTGATATATGTGCACCCACGTTCACAGCGGCACAGTTTGTAATAGCTAAAACATGGAAACAGCCCAGCTGCCCATCAACTGGAGACTGGATAAAAAAATGTGTATTTTAAAAATATAAAATGGAGTACTACTCAGCCATAAAGAATGAGAAATTTAGAGGCATTTATTGCTAAATGGATGCACATTGTGGTGATACTGTTAAGTGAAATAAATAGGACACACACGTAGATACCAAATAGTTTCTCTGGTGTGAGAAACTGAAAGTGAAAATAAGGATCAAAAGGTACAATGGTGTGAAATAGGAAGAAAAGGCGTAAATGGGAAAGGGAAGTTGGAGGAGTGGGGGAAAGGAGAGAGGGGAATGGAATTAATAAGAGGAAATGAGAAAATGGAAACAAAAAAATCTTTGCAAATAGGGAGGGGTGGAGGGGTTGGAGGGCAGGGGAATGGGGAAAATAAGGACCCAGATACATCATGTAAAGGTACAGGATCCCAATGATGAGTGTCACCATACTGTACACCTAAAATGTACCAATAAAATTAAAAATGAAGATGAATAGGCTTTCTTAGGAGGTTTTTACTCTATAGAATTATTCTTTATTCATTTATTTAATAGAACTTTCTGACCACACACAGCCCCCCCGATAACTTACATAGAGATAGGTTAATAACCCCAAATTAATACAGTCTTTTATTATTGGTGTGAATCAGTTCTATTTCCTGCACAAAAATTTTCCATGAATTAAATAATTCAGTATTTTATACAGATTATGGTCAAAACTGATACTCCTGAGAAATTCATTAGGAGACCATAGTAATTAGTTAAATATCTCCAAGGGCTCATCTGAACTCGTTCTATGTCTGTACAGCAAAAGACAAAACATATAGGGCCGGGGATTTAGCTCAGTGGTTCCAGCGCCTGCCTTGCAAGGGGCAAGGGCCTGAGTTCGATCCCCGGTACAAAAACAAAAAAACAAAGATGTGTGTATATATACACCTGTATGCATATCTACATATATGCACACATATATCTGTATGTGTGCAGCCATATTTATAGATATATATTGAAATGTTAATATTGTCTTTTTACTACCTGACTAATTCCTAACAGTTCTGTGTTTACTGTATCCCTACAGGCCTTGGAATATAAATCCTCTGTCTTTTCATTTACTAAAAAGAATAAAAAGTAGCACACATCTTCTGACTTGGCTTTTTTCTCAAGAGGTCTTTCACCCTCGAGGTTTAAAGCAAGTTTTACGTTTGTGAATTGTACCTGGGCGATGATAAAGATGGAGGGGTTCACTGATGCACGTCATTACTTACATTCCATTCGAAGGCCCCAATAGCAATTCCTGAAGATGCTCCGATCCCTGCCAGGCCCATAAAGTGGCTACTGCCAATATTTGCAGCAAAAAGAGAAGTACCTGTCTGAAAATCGAAAGGTGGTTACATGTCAGAACGCATTGTCTAATTCCCAAAATTAATTCTTACAAATGTATGCTCTCACTGCACTGCCCGTATTCTCAGAAGGGCCTGGCTCCCTGGGCAGAGTTCCCATTCGTATTTCTTCTATGCAGCCCCTCGCCATGAGTTATAAGCCAAGGAAAGAGGAAGACAATTGAAAAAGTTTCTCCACAGGCTCTATTAATGTGCTTGGAATTTGCCAATATGGATATGCTAGCAGGAGAGAGATTTATTGGATGTAATTGAAGATAATTAAAAATATAGCTGATTATCTATGAGTTTGGTTTAAAATGCTAAGGTGCATGACTATGATGGAGTATAAGGTAGAATATAGAAGGAAGAAGGTAGCTCTTAGAAGTGATAGAAGGAGCTGAATTTTATATAT